CTGTAATGAGGTAATGTAACCATGGGAATGGCCTCCTACGTGGAAGTAGAGGTTTAAAGACTCCATTTCCAAAGAGGCAGCAAGCTTTAGAAAATCCATGCCACCCAGGAAAACAGTTCATGGGCAGACAGAAAGATACTGCCAATGCGTTGGGATCAATGATGACATCAGACAATCTGAATTGTCCAAGGCTAGATGGAGGACAGCAGCTGGGAAAGGTGAATGTGGTGGGGTTTGCATTTGTTCCATGCTTTTTAATTTCTAGAGGCAGTGAAAATAGATCTGCCAGCTCCTTCCAGTAATATGTCTTCCCCTATTTTGGGGACATGTCATTGGAGGGCAGGCTATGGAGCCATGTTTTCTCCCAATGCCCTGAACAACCCCAGAAAACCCTCCCTTTTTTTGCCTTTGCCTATGGCATAGATTTTGCCTTTCCTGAAGTTGGCAAGGGCTACTCAGATTTCTGCTGCAGTTAGCTAGACTGCAGGGATGCGGGTGGCGCTGTGGTCTAAACCACTGAGCCTCTTGGGCTTGCCGATCAGAAGGTCGGTGGTTCGAATCCCCGCGACGGGGTGAGCTCCCATTGCTTGGTCCCAGCTCCTGCCAACCTAGCAGTTCAAAAGCATGCCAAAAAGTGCAAGTAGATTAATAGGGACTGCTCCAGCGGGAAGGTAAACGGCATTTCCGTGCGCTGCTCTGGTTTCGGTGTTCCATTGTGCCAGAAGCGGCTTAGTCATGCTGGCCACATGATCCGGAAAAACTGTCTGTGGAGCAGACAAATGCCGGCTTCCTCGGCCTGTAAAGCGAGATGAACACCGCAACCCCAGAGTCGTCTGCGACTGGACTTAACTGTCAGGGGTCCTTTACCTTTACGCTAGACTGCACATAGTTGGATCTCACTTCACAAGGGTGAACATCTCTCTCTCTGTCTCTCTCTCTCTCAGAAAGTGAGATCCAAAACATCCTATGAACCCGCCCAAACCCAGAAGCCCTCCCACCAACTGTAGGATTGCAGCCTAAGATAAATGAATAAGCAGAAGTTATTTTGCATTTCATGCTACTTTTAGAATGACTGTCTACTTCTGATGTTTTAAAAAAATGCAGGTTGTGAATGAGCCCCTTTCTCTCTGTCCTACCAATATCTGCAGCGCAGTTGGTGGGAACTCAGGTGAAGGACATCTTGGTGGCTGCTCCCAGTGAACTCTATGATAGTGTAGACCAAGCAGAGCTGCTTCTCTTGCTACATGGTAGTACAATTGGCTTTGAGGCACTGCTGTATTTTGAAGGCTGAACACACGTGTGGCTTAACTGTATTTGTGAACTTGCTTGCTTGCTTGTGGTTTTATTATATAAACTGCTCCGGGATTCTTATGAAGAGCCGTGCAACAAATGAAATCAATCAATCAATATAAAAACAGACAACTTTAATTAAGAAAAGCTGTTGTTAAAAAAGCAGCTCATTTTCAAAGACATGCATTTGAGTTCCCTTACCTTTCACTTCTCAATGGATCTGGGGCTAGTTCTGTGGTTCTGTATGGGAGAACATACTGGCATCCAGTTAAAAGGGAGGAAGGCATAAGCCATCAAATTTGAGCTCATATATTACTACTTAATTTGCCCCTATTAAAACCAACAGAGTTTAGGGTGCAATCCCATTGATCTCAGTGGGACTTAGAGCTCACCCGCATTTCTGCTTCTCCTGTGCCTGGAAGACATGTGTCTGAGTGGTTATCCACTGGCCCCGTACTTTCTAGGTGTGAGTCAGAGTGGTTTTCTGTTTGCTCCATTGCTTTCTCTTGGAAAACCCACTGTTTCCCACTGAATCGGAGCAAGCATCAATCTGAGGAAAACTTGATTGGTGTTGCTCCAATTCAGCAGGAAAGAGTGGGTTTCTCCAGGGGAAATTGGTGAGACAAGAGGAAGTGTGGAGGAGCCCTTACTCCTAAATAAGTAGAGATTAATTAACAAAAGTTTGATCTGTGGACATCAATGACAGATCTCCCATTCAGTAGTATGGGGGTTTCCCCAGTTAATAATTTCTGGTGCAAATAATAGTAATAATCAGGTAGCTGTGTTGCTACATGAGACGGCGGTGGGAAACCAGTATCTTTATTTTGTCCGAACGTTCAGGGTGGCAGGAGAGGACATATTGTTTATTAATATCCTTCCCAACTTGTGCTAGCAAGTTCCTTTACTTAGCAGCATTCCATTCCCCTTTTTACATGCACAGCAGATAACTGGTTGCAGGCTCGTGTGAGCCTCTCACTATTATACAATTCAGTCTGTCTGTCTCAGAGTGAATTGTACGTTCCTGGTAAGTTTCCTTGAATTCCTCTTAAAAGAATAAAGACGCCACAATCTTATTCAAAGACAATAAAATAAGTTTACTCACATCAGTTCACAGTTGGATTCCTGAAGGCAGACTTAGTTACAAATATATGCGTGTGGATCTACCCCATATGGGGGAATAATCCCAGTGCTTCTGCTAGCTGAGAGCTAGCAGAGCAGCCCTAGCTAAAAGCTGATCAAACGAAGAAGGAAGTCAAAAAGGAGGGGAGTGTGCTGCGTGACTTGTCCTTTTGTTACCTGGACAGGTTAGGTCACACCTACCTTCTATCACATGCAAAAGGAAGGATGCTCCAGCCAGGAGGAACAGGAAGTTTCCACTGGCTGGACTAAACATCCCCTCACATGTCTGCTCTAGCATTACAAGGAATGTTGTACTTGACTGCCTCTCATGGATCATATCCAACACATTATAGGGCTGGGGAAATATTTCCAACATACAGTGCAAGCGGTGCATGTAGTCGGCGCAACTAAGGTAAATTTTACATTTGTTCAGTAGGCTGGTTTGTGCACGCACCCTTCCATCCAGACAAGCAAGATGTAGAGTTCAAGTACACATTTCAGCCAGGCCAAAATAACAACAACAATAAAAAAATGTGGGGGAGGGGATGAAGAAACGTCAGAGGGGTGTGGCTCAGAAGAGAGTTCAGCGGGTCAGATAGAGAGGCATAGAGGTCTATAATTTGCCCCTACCCTACCCTGGGGGGGGGCTGATGTTCCACACCTGAAAAGATGCTGTTAGAGGGCATAGAAGAAGCCATGGCTTCATTATTACAGAATAGTGAGCTTGGTTTTATAGCCAGTGAAAAAGATGGCACCAAAAGCAGAATGGAACAAAGAAGCAATGACTATTTCTTTGAGAAAGCTTTCATATCCCCTAAGAGAGGGGTGTGTGCATGTGTGGCATTATTGGTCTCTGTACAGCCTGGAGAAATCTGTGGTCTTATGAGCATCCTGAACATTCCACCCCCAGCGCTCTGACACCACATATTCCTGTTGGGGGAATTGTTTTCTTTTTAAAAATGGAGCCTAATGAAGTGTTTTGCAGAACTCTAAAACTCTGATTTACGATTGTGAGTTGCTCCGAATAAACTTATGGTGTGTTGTGTTTTTATTCCATTATATCCCATTTAAGTTTACATGTGCACATAACTTTTTATCTGTTTGTTAGTATTTAAATGATAGGGCTTTTTATCTCCTTAGTTTTAACACTGTACTGTACTTTTCCCCCTTGCAACTCACATTTCTCTCTGATCTAGTAACTGCAATATGAATGAAATAGAATGATAAACACTTTATTTCCCCCAGGAATCCAACCATTTGGGGGGGGGCAAATACCCTTTTATAAAAATAGCATTTCCCCCTTTTCATGTATTTTTGATGGTATATGACAACAGCAGACAAAACCATTTTAAAATGAGGAGGCAGAGTACGTCTCAGTGATGTGAACCTTTAAAGTGCTTAGATTGTCCTGACTCAACTAAAGCTATGCAGATCTACAAATGAATCAGGAAGAGGTGGAAGGCTGAGCCTCTGAAAATGTCCTCACATTTTGGAAAGCTTTTCCTACATTAAAAAAACCCACCTCCTTGCAAATAGAAACCTAGCACAGCAGGCAAAGAACTGAATCGTTGTCTCTAGTGTGGTAGATTTCTATTTGCGTGGGATTATAACACAAGGGAGGGTCCCAAACAATGTTCAGTCTGCAGACTCTGAAGTGACATTGTTTGCTCTACCACTTCTGCATGGTAGAACCTCATCACCCTGTATGGTCACTAGGCCTTACAAGTATAGGTTAAATCCCATGGAAGTCACTGAGACAAGTTATCAACAAATAATTAAAGCCATTGTGGCCTAGTTGTTTGAGTGTCAGACCAAGACCTGCGAGACCAGGGTTCAGATCCCCGCTTGGCCAAGAAGCTCACTGGGTGACCTTGGGCCCGTCACTGCCTCTCAGCCTAACATTCCTCACAGGGTTGTGGTGGGGATGATATGAGGAGGGAGAAAACCATGTATGCAGCCTGGAACTCCTTAGAGAAAAGGATGGGATATGGATACACGTTGTTTTCCATGTGAGTTAACTGTAGGTTCCATTGGTGTACCGTCCTTATAATATAGCTGAGTAGCTTTAAGGAGATCAGGGTCCTTTTCTTACTTACCCTGATAGCAGGGTTCAGACGTTACAAGAGCAACACAGGTGAACAGGTTGGTGGTGCTTTTAGAATCTCTTTGGAGTCGGTGGCTATCAATCTCTTTCAGCCAAAGGAACCTAAATGATTTCTCCAAGGCTGTGGAGGACGGGGTTAGTCCTCTCCAAGTCCACCGCAACAGCAAGCTCAGCACAGTTGCTCCAGAGAAGCGTTTCAGCTATTGGCATTCTCTTCGTATTGTGACTTGGGGGCGCGGTGCCATTGTTTGTAGCCAAGGGGAATTGGATCAACTTTTCCTCTTCCCTTCCTCGGGGAGCAAAGAATACGTTATTGCTGCGGGTTTGTTGTTTTTTAAATGGGCGGGGGAGAGGGAAATGCCAGTTCCCTTTCGATATACCTGCTTTCATGCGGACTAGAAACCTGCGCAAACCTCCCTGAGCGCGAGCTACTAGCCCACCTCATTCCCTGCCTGGATATTCCTGCGCTCGCGAGTTCTATTTCGGATCAAGCAGTGGGCGGATGGCAGCAGCGGCGCTCGTGTTTACTCGTCTCCAGACCCAGAGAGGATCCTGCTTGGCCCACCAGATTCTGATTCAGGGTCCTCCTCCTCCGCCTCCTCCTCCTCCTCGTCGCCCATCCCTGGCTGCCAAGTCTTGCCAAAAGCTTCGGTGGGTTGGGGGGTGGGGATGTGACCGCCCTCTTTCGCGCTCGCCTGGCCATCCCTGCAGCTGGCAGGGACCTCCCCGCTCTCGCAAGGACATCCGAGGCAATGTTGACGAGGCTCAGCTCGGCTCGCTCCTCAATAACTGTCAGCGTGGGTCGCCTGGCGAGGAGTCAGCCAAACACAGCAGCCTCCTCGCGAGGCGCGGGCGGCGCCGGGAGGTGCTGCTGTTGCTGCCGCTGCTGTTGCCGTCGCCTAGTCAAGCTGGGGAGAAACTAGACCCCCCACCCCGCTCCTCCAACTGCCCCCCTTCCATTTCTTCTGGAGCACCTTGACCCTCAAGGATGGAGAGGCACCGTCTAAGCTCCTAGTGGCTCCAGCTGCCCGGGAACAAGCCAGGGACCTCTTGGCCGTCCGGGGAGGGAGGGAGTGGGGAGACCCACCGGGCGCTTCTCAGATGGTGAGGGACCCCACGCAGCCTCGGTGATCCAGGTCCGGAGGAAGCGTCCCACGTCGGGGATCGGAGCTTTCCTCCTGCCCAACGCCTGATGTGCTTTCTGCAGGCGCTTCTTCTCTTCCTCCTCGGACGTGTCTCCACCAGCCGAGGGGCATGGCTGGCTGACGCGACCCTCCCGTGGACCAGCAGCTTGCTTGACCAGCTTAGACAATTGGGGGGGAAGTGGGGGAGGGGAAGGGGGTAAGGAAGAGGGCTGTGGAGCACCTCGGACCACCTGTCAGACCTTCCTCGGATCCGGAGTCCCTCTGGGATCGAGGGAAAGATCGCTTTGCACTTGGGGGGTCGTGGGGGTTGCCTTATGGGAGACGTGGAGGAAAAGCGGGATATGCCTTGCAGCGCGCGGAACTGGGAATAAGGAACAGCCAACAGAGGGGAAAAGAAGAGAATATCCGTGGTTTGCTCTCCCTCACCTCAGATACCTCCTCCTCCCCTTTGCCTGAACATCTCCTGCAACCTCTTCCTCCTCCTCCCCCTCTGGGTCTGCTGCACTTTCTCCCCTCGCTTGGCTGCGCTGCTCGGATCATGTCCGCTAAGCTTCTGGTGGGCTTCTTCCTCCTGTCCGTTTTCCAAGCCTGGTAAGTTTCATCTGGCGCGCTTCTCCTAGCCTGCTTCTCTCTCTCTGTCTGTCTCTCCCCCTCCCTCTTTCTTGGAATGTCCGTGTCCGAAAAAACAACCATCTCCAGCTGCCCAAAATAACGTTATGATGACAACAATTTTGGGGGGATAGGGGGTGGGTCGCTCTCCTCCACAGCCGTGATTTTCTCCCCAGCTGGGAAGAGGCGCCGTGAAATGGACCAGCTGCGAGCAACTCATAGGCACACACTGTCACTTTGTAAGCCCTCCTTCCATCCACGCATCCTCTCCCCCCTTTCCAAGGCTCCAGAAATCGCTGGTGGTCGTCCTCTGGAGTCCCTCTCAGTCCCAAGCCCCTTCGTTCGCCCCCACTCATTGAAGGGAAAAAAAGGACGAAGTTTGCTCTGCACTTTGTAGGGGAATCTAAAGCGAGCCTTCCTCGCAAAACCAGCCAAGAAGGCTTTGTCCGCAGGGGACGAGATTCCCCAAGTGGTTTGTGTCTTAAGTGGCACCCTCTTATTTTAAAAGAAGATCCACTTGCGAGCGACTTGGGTGGCGCCGCGGTGAGATCCAAGGTTTGACTCACCCGGGTCAAGATTTGGGGGCGAACGACGGCTGATCTTTAAACATGCGAGTCGAGGACCAAGACAGGAGGAAATTGATCAAGGCAATTAGCCTGATTAGCCCGCTTTTGTTTCTCCGCAGCTGATCTGGGGAATGTCTTGTGAGGCTCATTTCGTTAGACGGATCAAAGCGATTGCCTAAATATCTTGTCCGGGATTATCCAGAGAGATGGTTTCCTTTGATAATCATATTATACCGGGTTAAGATAATGCCTCGGTAATAATCGTGTCACAATCCGTTCTGGAAAATGCCGGCACGGTCATTCAGAGAGCGATCTGCTCGCCCTGTTCGGGGTGCTTTTGTTGGGATCCCTTTTGCCGCTTCTTTGCCATCCCTCTCCTCGCAGAAATAATTCTGCTAAACTTCAGCTAACGAGCAGGATGTCAATCAAAGTTAACTCCTTTGCAGTTGCACCACGTTATTGGGGAAACCCACAATACACCTTCTGTTTTCCCTTACCAGTAACTTTACTGCATGAATCTATGGTTTCATCATTCCTGTGGTACCCACACACCTATAACGGTGGAGAAGTTCTGTCCCCCCTGTAAACTGTCCCCAAATAAGACACCCCAGGGATGCCTGCAACCTCTCAATACAAAATGAGGTGAAAAGCCTTTTCATTCATCTAGAAAGGCATCCCAGAATAACTGGACAACACTTTTTAAAAAAGTTTGATTTAGTGTTTACAGATACTGCAAATGGCAAGCTCCAGCTTCCCCCTTCACTGCCATCCAGGAGGGGATGCCTCCTCCAAGAGAACAACGTCCAAAGATGGAGGCCTCTTGATCCATTACAGGAAGAAGGACCAAGTCTCTTGAGGCATCTTAAAGGGGAGGGGGACCTTCAGCTGGTGTTGCATTGCAATTCCCATCATCCCTGACCATTGGCCATTGTGCCTGGGGCCGCGGAAACTTAAGAGTCCCTACAAATCTGGGGGGCCAAAGAGTCCCTACCCACTCAAAGACTAATGAGGAAGTGATTATGGCTGGCTACAGTCAATGAAAGGTTATGATGCTATTTGTTGTATTGAAGGTGCTCATCCAGTCTCTCTCTCTCTCTCTCTCTCTCTCTCTCTCTCTCTCTCTCTCACACACACACACACACACACACACACACACACAATGCAGATTTATTTATTTCACATCGTTGACTAAAATTACTTTAATCAGGTGACAACTGTACACATTTTATTCTGTTATTTCACCCTTTCTAACCCTTCCCATCCTCTAATATGCAGTGATAAAATCACCCTGGCCTTATTGAATTGCTTTGGGGTTGGGGGAAATGCTGATGATGTTCCCTTTTAGGGGAGAAATTAGAGGGTGGTGCATCTGAAAAAGCTTCAGCCAAAGATCCGGGTCTGGAGCAGTTACTTAGTGTACAATGCCACAGTGTACAATGTCTCCTGGGATGCTTACAATGTTGACTGGCTCTCAGAGCTTCCTAGCTTTGATTTAGGAACCTCTGAAGCTCCGAAGATCATTGGCCCCATCTTGACTCACTATTGCCCTCACTGATAGGCAGTGACTCTGGGGGGTTTCAGGTAGGGACTTTCCCTATCCTACTTGACAATAGGACCTTCTACACGCACCATTGCCTCCTGAGCTAGGGCTCTCCCCTTCTTAGCAAGACCCAAGAGCCACTGGGGAGATGGAAACCCTATTGTGTCCTGCAGCAGATGTGCTAGCTCGATGAGTGAATATTGCTCCACTTTAATTCAATATTATTGCACAGAAAGGAAACAACCCATCTGCAATTGTCTGATCAGCCCCGTACAAATGGTTGTGTGCATTCCATACAGTTGCCAAAGGAACACATGAAGCTCTCCTGAGACAGACTGTTGGTCCATCTTATCGCAAGAGCTCCAACTGGTTGCAGCTCTTCTAGAGCCTTGGGCAGAGATGGGCATTTCACTCATCCGTTTAATTTGGGGATAGGGAACCCATGACCTTCATATGTTGCTAGACTCCAATTTCCATCACCCCGAACTTTGGCCATGCTGGCTGCAGCTAATGGGACTTGAAGTCCAGCAGCCTCTGAAGGGCTACAGGGTCCCCCATCCCTACTAAACTGAAGCTCCCAGGGATTGAACCATTTGCATGCAAATGGTCTTCTCTGCCATTCTGTACTCTTTTTTTAAAGCAATAAACTCCCTGACATAAGGAACTTGCCACCTAAATTAACTTGATCATAGTTGTGTATTGCTTCAGGCTCAACTAAATTAGACACATGCTTTTTGTTTTTCTTTTATTTTCCTTCAAAGCAGCAGTCATGTGGGACTGGGACTGGGGAAATTCGTCCTGAGGGAAGAGGTGTTCAGTCATACTCCCATCCCATTTGCCCATCAAGAGGAAATCATACAGACACCATATTGCTACATTTGACTTGACTGGGCAAATAGCAGCTTCAGAAGGGTGATTCAGATCAGCAGGTGGGAAAGGGTTAAACACCCCACCTCACAGCACCACTTTCTTAATCAGATTGGAAACCCCATGCAACTGGTTTAATTAAAGAAAACACACACATAAAATTCTGATTAAGGATATCCCAAGTCAGCTGCGGTATAGCACTTACCTTCTGCTACTTTGTAAACAAGAGGCTGAGACTGTTGCTAAGAATAATGATAGAGATCTACAACACACCCCACCCCACTTGATTTGGTACTCTAGCTCAGAAGTGGAAGCACACAAACAATTCAGGATTTCCCCCCTCCAGTCTCTGTTCCATCTCCTCACTCCACCCTTAGTAGGATCCTGCAAAATCTCTCTGGGTCTAAATTCTACCAGATCACACACCCTGTACAACTGATGTCAGCTTGGATTTTAAAAAATAAATAAAAACCCCAGGCCCCAACTCATTCATAACCTAAGTGCCCTGCTGAGTCCAGTCAAACATCCTGCTTCCTGGAAGCCCATATGAAGACAACTCTCCCCAACAACTAAAATGCAGAGATCTATTGCCTTTGAATATAGAGGTTCCATTGCTAATTTGACATCCTCATGAATTTGTCTACCTCCTAAGTCAGCAGACATCATCATTTTTTTAATTTTTTTTGTACAAGTGAATTCTACAAATTCATTGTTCATTGCGTGGAAAAGACTCTCTTTGGTCTGTTCTCAACAGTGACTTTGGCCAGTCAACGGTATAGGTCAGTGGTTCTTAAGCTTTTCCTCCCATGGACCACTTGCTGAGGGGCTCGGTGGATTCTTCTGCCAGGTGTAGCCATTGAACTAGATGTCAGAATAATTATAATTGCTTTTTTTTTTTTTGCTTCTTTTATTCCTTAGAATTCCACTGTATTTCTGTTTGAGTGCTATAGACATACAAGAAATAAAAGAAGCAACAAAATAAGTATGCAATGTGCCGTCTTCTGTCTTCAACGGCAAATCCATAGGCACCTGAATGAAGCTCATGGGATCCTGGTGACACTCCATCTCCTTGATCCCATTTTGTCTGTCCATTTCTAGTTGTGATACTCTTTGTGGGATGGGATGGCCAGAACTGTACACAATATTCCAAGCATGGCCACACCATTCATGTATACCAAGACACTATGGTACCAGCCTGTTTCTTTTATACTCCTTTCTCAATAATTGCCTTTTCACCACTGCGGCATACTGAGTCAATGATTTCATTTAACTCTGTATTCATCACATTCCTGATATCTCTTAATTGGATTTTTATTTTTTTGCTGCCATTTTAATGTATAGGCATGACTGATTTTCTTGCCTAAACATGGCTCACTTCCCACTTAACATTGGAAAGTTTTACCCAGACAAGACCCATTGAAATGAATAGACTTAGCTTAGTCATGTTCATTCATTTTAGTGGGTCTACCCTGAGTGAAATTTAGTTGCATACCACACATTGAATCTCATTTGCCATTTTGTTTTTCACTCACCCAGCCTGGAGTGGTATTTTTAGAGTTATTCCCAGTCTGCCTGGGAGTTCAATATATTGAGTAATTTGGTATAATCCACAAACTTGTCACCTCTCACTGCTTTTATCTGACTCCAGATCATTTATGAATACAGTGGTACCTTGGTTTATGAACAGCCCTGTTTATGAATTCAGTTTACGAACTCTGCAAAACCAGAAGTAGTGTCCCGGTTTGCGAACTTTACCTCAGTATAAGAATGGAAACCAAACGGTGGAAGGGCACTGGTGGCAGGAGGCCTCATTAGGGAAAGCGCACCTTGGTTTAAGAATGGTTTCGGTTTAAGAACAGACTTCCAGAACGGATTAAGTTTGTAAACCAAGGTACCACTGTGCATTAAACAAAACTGGCTCCTCCTCCATACAGATTGGGGAGGGGATTCTATTGCTTACAATCCAAGTTATCAATTTACTCATACAATCCACCTCTTGTTCCTTATTTAGCTATTTACAATCCATAACATGATCCGTTCTCTCACCCTGTTACTCAAGGATGTATGGTGAAGAACTCTGTTGGGATAGTTACAAAGATAGCACCCTACCCAGCATTTTGGCTCAGCCCTAGTTGGTACAAAGAGCATATTGCTAGTAAGATAAATTGAGGGTGGCCCACATTCTCTGTAGCCTGCAATGTGGGCAAATGACCTGGGGATCAGATGAGCTGTGCAAGGTTTTTGTTCCTTGAAATAAGGACTCTGGGGAAGCTATAGAAGAAACAGCATTCTCAGTACAGGGCCATCGTGCAGTCTGCGTAACAAATGCTTTGAGATTTCAAATCAAACACCTGTCCTTACATTTCCCATTGGGCAATTTCTTTCAAGCCACTCAATTTGCTATGAAAATAACGCCAATACAAGCAGACACTTCTCCTTTTTACAGGAAAAAAAGTTACGAAATGAAATCTCCCTGCTCACCAATAACATATATGCATGCTGAGTTAATTCATATTCTAGTCTCACCCACCCACATGTAATCTGGTTACTGTACATAGCCATTTTAAAAACTTGAAATGTTTGACATGAATGTAGATATAGCCAAGCTTCACTTTCTCCCCCCCCCCTTCAATGTATTATTTGGCAGCAAACATATTCATTGTTAGTTTGCGATCAGTTCCTCAGGGGCACCAATAGGAACATGAAAGATTTGAGGTCCCGTAGAAACCAATTTTCATATGAAGACGTATGTGCATAGATGCAGATTTTTATAATTTAAATGCCACAGAAGGCAGGACAACTATTTCCTTATCCAAATCACTGCAAATAAATTCTTTGATTAATTTGCACCCCACAACAAATCACCCCAGTTCAGTTCTTCTTTCATTCGTTTACCCTCTATTAATTTTTCCATCAGCTCCTGCTCCAAATTAAGTTAATTCCTCTTCAACAACCCCTCTCATTGCTCTTTAAATTCACCATGTCATAGCTGTGACACCCACAGCACCCCCTAGGCTCGGCGCCCAGTGTGGTGGAATCAGTCACACTGCCCTAAATCCACTTCTAGGAGCATAATGGGACTCAGGTTGGGTTGTGATTTCACTGTGGAGAAACCTATCCAAAAGAAAGCAGGAATCCAGCAGTTGATATGTACTCAAGGTGCAGCTCAACCCAGAACTACTCTGCATGCAATGGAGTTGCACTGGCTGCAGCTGAATACAGATGGAATTTGCCTTGTAGCCTTTAATAACTCACCTCCGAAAGAAAATAATTCATTTAATGTACCTTGACAAATCATGAGTGTCATCACCGGAGAGAGAGAGAGGGAGGGAGGGAGGAAGTACAATAAGGCTTAGAAATAAGTGCCATGAGCAATGAAACACAGCTTCCTTCCACATTTTTGGGTTTTTTTTATATTAAAAAAAATAGTTCAAATATCCCAGACGTATTAAACTGTAATTTAACTTAGGCTGTACTCATGTCCAATTGCTTGCTGGTGCATCGTATAAATGAAAGGATGCTGCAGCAAACTCCCTGACATAATGAGCAGGTTAACAAATATGGAAATCTACCATAACCCAACACCCCAGGAGAGTTACAAAGAGAGAGAGGGAGAAGTGAAGAAACTGGAAGGAAAGGAAATGAGCAAGATCCAAATTTTGTAACATTGTGCATGTAAAGAAAGAGGAGGGCTAGGAAAGCCTGCTTCTCCCACAACTGCCTCGAGAAATAGGCCAATCACGTCCCAAACTATCTGGTAACTGCTGCAACCAACCTCCTCCTCTTAACTCCTCCAGCCTCCAGACAGGAGGGAGTTCTGGGACTTTCAAGCAAACACCTAAACAGGGAATCAGAAATGGCATCCACTTTACTGGATCCACCACAGGTTTATCCACCAAGATCCCTCTCAGTTTACACCGTGAGCAGAGCAAGCTTCCAGCACCCAGATCTGGCTTTGCTTCCTGTGGGCCTCCACATCTTCTACCGTACCAGACCTAACGGCCACCAGCCATCACTGGCTGCCCTATCATGCAAAGTGACATGGACACAGAGGAGAGAAACCACACATGCAAAGCATAGCTTTCCATTCCCTCACTGTGAGGTTACAGGGAACCAGGCAGAGGGCCTTCTCAGTGGTGGCACCCACCCTGTGGAATGGCCCTCCCATCAGATGCCAATGAGATAAGTAACAATACAACCTTTAGAAGACATCTGAAGGCAACCCTGTATAGGGAAGTTTTTAATGTTTAATGTTTAATGATGCTTCTGTATATTCTTGAAGCCATCCAGAGTGGCTGGGGGAATCCAGTCAGATGGGTGGGGTACAATTATTATTATTATTATTATTATTATTATTATTATTATTACTAGTACTACTATTGTGAGGGGTATACCCTATACATTTAAGTTGGTCCCTGGGAATACATTCATCTATTTCTCCTTTAAAATGTATAATTTTAATATGCCTCAAATGGAAACGAGATTCACCATGCTTTCAGTAAAGAACACAAGAAGTTGTGTTACATGTAGTCAGACTACAGTGGTACCTCAGGTTAAGAACTTAATTCGTTCTGGAGGTCCGTTCTTAACCTGAAACTGTTCTTAACCTGAGGCACCACTTTAGCTAATGGGGCTCCCACTGTCACCGCACAATTTCTGTTCTCATCCTGAAGCAAAGTTCTTAACCCGAGGTACTATTTCTGGGTTAGCGGAGTCTGTAACCTGAAGCATCTGTAACCTGAGGTACCACTGTATTTGTTCACCTAGTGCTGATTCTGGCCCCAAAAAACACTCTCTGGAGTATTGGGGGCAGCAGCAGAAGGAAAACTCCAGAATAATGTGGGATGTGGGGCTGCTGGAGCAGCAGGGGGAAGCACTCCAGTTCAGATGTGGATCCTAATATGAGTTAACTGAATGAGGTTCATGGTGGGGAAGTTCATCCCCTCTGCTCCATTCCATGTTGCCCAGGAGGACCCCCACCCAAGAAATCAGAGAGGGCCCGTGTGGCTGCAAGAAGATGTGGGTGACTGGAAATGTTCCTTCCATGAGGCTCCTTCAGTTAACTTATCTTAGGATCCAAGCCAATGTGTCCAGGATACTTTTATCTTATTTTCAAACATGCTACATTAAATACCTGAACTCCAAAATGCTGAGAATATATAATGACTTTTTAACAGGGTGACATGATCAGGAAATATTAAAATAACTAATCCTCCCTCCTTCATTTTCTACCTGGGTAAGAGATGAAGAAGTATGTGTTAAGAAGCTAGATTTGAAGTTCTGCAGGGTGTTCTTCCACCACCTCAGGCTGCTACCACAAGTTAAAAACTACACAAAATAGCTCATCACACTGATATAGAAGAAAAGTGGCATTTGTCCCTAGATTCACCATCTAGTGAGAAGTAATGATAGAAGACTATTCAATTATTTTCCATTAGAGTGTCCTACTTAGACTTTCATCTGTAGCAGTTAGCACATCCTTTGATTCCCCCCCTTTCTTTTAATGGGAAAAACAAATAACTCTGAATGCTCCCCCATGAAACGACTGAATTATGGAGGAAATAGAGGCATTGAACTGCCCTTCCTCATGTGACACTGTCCTATGGTTTTTGTTTTGAATTGCAGCTCAAGAAAGGTTGAAGAGGATGACTTTGAAGATTTCACGACAAACCAAAAATGGGTAATGTCTCCAAAAACGCATGACACTGACGTGACACTGTTGTTAAACAAGTTGCTGAGAGAATATGATAAAAAGCTGCGGCCAGACATTGGAAGTGAGTGCTTTCTTTCCCTTTAATTTTCTGTAATGGATATATCCTATGGCTGTGTCCGTATTTTCTTTTTGTTTTAGTAACCAATGTGCATGATCAGAGGCGTACATAGAGACCAATGTGTTTTGGTTGAGGCTGACTACAACCCGTAGTAGAAATTGGATTGTATACGAGACACTGGGCAATCAGTAAATAGTACGAAAATAAAATGGTAAGGCTATAATTATATATAGTAGTGCCTCATTGAACTCAGCGAGACTAACCTTTGAGTAGACATGCATAATAAGATTGTGCTGTTTGCAACATAATAAAAATATACACATTTTATAAAATGGGTGCATTTAGACTTTTTCATAGTACACTTTGGCTTCCCTATCTCAAAAACTGTTGGAAAGCTGGGGAAGATACAGAAAAGGTCAACTGAAATGATCACAAGGCTAGACCATCTTCCCTTGCGTGAAAAGTTAAGATGTCCGAGTGCTTTTTAGTTTGGGAAACAAGATGACTGATACTATGGAGATCTATAAAACTATGGAGTGAGAAGAGAGTGAATAGCTGAGACATTTTAATCCCTCTGTCATAATACTAGAATTTGGGTACATAAGGAAGTTGATAGGTAGTAGTTTAAGGACAAGACAGATTGTATAGTTAGTTAACTTCTGCAATTCACTATCACCAATGTGATAACATGCATTAATTTAGATGGATCTTAAAAGGGATTAGGATTAATTCACAGAAGATACATCTATAGCTATATATGTAGGTATAACCATGTCATCTAAGAACAGAGGGTGGCATCCATTGGATGTCCCTGATGAGCAGCGTAAATTAATAATGCAGAGTCTTCTTCAGTAAAAGAATAAAAGATTTACTGAGTTAAAATAAACTTGTTTGCAAATAACAGCACAGTGAACAGAAGATTAAACTAGCTTCAGAGCATACACAGAGTTTCCATTGAGCACAGGCTCCACCACGCACTGAGACTGAGCCATAGAGACACACACAGACACTGAGGGCACTGAGTCTACCTGCAAGCAGATACAATACTTATACAGAGAATGAGTCATCCCCAAGATGAGTCACAGTGATTCAGCATGCTAAATGATTCTGCAGCTTTTCAGCATTTCACAACATTTCTAGACTCCTTTACTGCTTCCTTTACTGCTTCTGCTCTCAAATACCTTTGTCACATGACAGTCCACCCCACTGACAGAAGGCGTATGTTAGTGGAACTGAGCGGGTGGGAAATTCCTGCTCCAACTGCAGCCTTCTGCCACCCCTGAAACTCTGCCAGGAAGAATCCCCAATCCTCCAGAGTAGATTTTGAGTGGACTGGGGTTCAGGGTAGAACACGAAAAATAGTCTTCATCCTTCTTCGGCTGAGGGATGCCTTTCATCAGCAGAGGGTACCATCTGAAAACTTAGATGTTCAGGGACAGTGTATCTGCCACAGCAGGCTGCAGGGGGGGGGAAGATTCGTCATCATCACATTAATTTATGAATCTCCTTTTATATTTGTCTCAAGACGATTTACTGACGTATAATAAAACCAGCTAAAAATAGTTTTATAAACAGTACAACTTCCTCCCCCAAGATGTTTTTTTTTAAAAAAAACACACACACAAAAACACACAAAATGAACACCAAAGACTGAGACCTTTTCATAGAAAAGGCGGATGAACCAAAAAATTCAAAGCCAGATAGTGGACACCTGTCTTATCTCGACAGGGATGCTGTTCCACACAAAAGGGGTAGTCATACTGAAATCCCTGCTCTGAAATATTGTGGAGTGGGCTTCTCATATTTTGAGGACTTTCAGGAGAAACTCATCTGCAGAACACAGTGACCTACAGGGTGATTTTTCAAGGATACACGAGAAGCATTGGAGTAGGCCCTCTTCACTGCAACTTCTTGGAAGTTAAAAGCACATTTGTCAACAAATAAGAGCTGGGCCCCCAACCCATATCAGAAATGCATTCCAAATTGGAGTCTTCCAGCTGCATTTTCTTTCCAACAGAAAAGTGGCCAGGTTAAGAATCCTCCTCCCTTTTTAAAGTATTATTCATATAATGTACTGAAAGGTGAATTCCTCCTACTCAATTTTGGTTAGTTTCTCCCTCCCAATGCAACCTCATAAGACATAGTATTTGGTAGCTTCCTTTCAATCCTCTGGAGAAAGTTTTCCTCTGTGTGTGTGTGTGTGTGTGTGTGTATGTGTGTACGTACAGGGGGTCAGTGTCAGGGTGCTGTCAGCAGCTCCCAGCTGGTTGCCCAGGGATGTATAAAGAGAAGGAAAAGTTTCTTATAGTCCTTTTTATTTCAAACTTTACAGAGAGAGGCTATAGAACCCAGCCTCTTGGATAATGGCACTGTCCTGAGTGAATCTCCACCCCCCTTCTCTCCCACTTCCTCATTCATCATCCTCATCATCTCCTCTATGGGTGCCACTAAGTGCCCTCTGTCTTTGAGCTCTTTGCTCTCCTACTTTTAAGGCCTGCCGGGTTCTTGGAGTTGGTGGGTCTGGAAGGCTTTCTAGTGACAACTTGTCAGCCAGCTGCTGCTCTGTCTCTGCTCCTCTTCTCCCATTATTTCCCAGCTTCCCCCTCATCTGCCTCTGAGCTGTGACCTCCTGCAAACCACTGTTGTAAATCTACACTGTTTTTCTCTTCTTCCTCCTGCCTGGAAGGGTCAGGATGGGGAGGCGGTCACCACCACGCCTCCTTCTCTGCCCAGCCCCTGGCAGTCAGAGGGAACAGAGGAAGGGAAAGATCCATTGTGCAAGAATTTTAGCAAAAAGCAGCCCATCTAGCCAGACAGAAAACTCCTGTAGCAGCTTTGCAAATTGATCCACAAGTCCTTCTCAGATAACTGAATTAACACAGGGCCCATTTGAAGTGGCTTGGGCAGAGGAGCTCAGAACCCATTATTAAGCATGGATGAACAAATCGGGAACAGCCTTGTAGAATCATATGAGATGGAAAAGGCGAAAAGACCGTCAGGTCCAACTTCTGGGCTGCAAGCCAGGATAAACAAAACCTTCTAAACAGGTAGCAGGCAGAAAATGATTTGCCTTAACAAGCAGTTTGCATCCCTAGATTCACAGATCCCTGATTCAAGGAATAGATCTGGTGTGCTGAAAGTCACCCAGGTGTGAGGAATGGGCTGTAATGCATTTTACTTTTTAGCCGTTTGTTTTTGTTTGAAAACACTCGAGTTTATTTTGTTAATGAGGTGCTGTGCAACTGGAATTAATTTGTATTGAATCAGCCCAACGTATGCAGATAAAGACTCAGGAAGTGATTTGTGGATGACAACAGGCTCCCAGACACACCTAGGTTAGGCACCTGCATGCAGTAATTCTGCCGTTCTAAGCAATAACTCAGAGTTAGCACCCACTAGCTGCCTGGAGCGTAGAGTAGATGAACAGTATAGGACATTTCTGATGGTTCAAGGGAAAAATAGGTGTGAAAGGAGAATTCCTGTAGGACAAGATCCTGGTTGGGAGAGAATACTCTTTGGTGCGGGAACCCCAGCAAAGATTTTAAATCCACAACATATGCAGTAAAATCAGGGCTCTTTTTCAGCCATAACTCAGTTCCGGCACCTCTATAATGGGCACCATTGCCATGATAAGAGAACACGGGAGGTGTTCATGTTGAGTTCCAGCACCCCTTTTTCTGGAAAAATAGCACTGAGTAAAGTTGTTGGCATCCTTCTGTCTCAAGAGACAATGGAGTGTGCCTCTGGGGGTGAAATCAAATCACTGCGTTTGTAGCATTGAAGTGACCTCCCCGAGGCACGTGTCTGGGCAGTCCTGGCTTGCCCAGATGACAAGACCTCCCTCAGCCTCACTGATGTGGTCCAAAGCAAAGCAAAACAATACATATGGCTCCAGCTTAGCTGCAGGAATTGCTGGAAAGAAGCATACAAGGCATCACCCATTCTGGATTTGGGTAGGGTTTACTCCCTAGCCCTTTCTTTTCCTGAAGATATTCTGCAAGGCAGCCGAAGCTTAAGATCTGATTTTTTTCTTTTCTTAGAAGCCACCTTCCCATGTTGGCAAGCCCCATTTGCCCCTCACTTCCCTCTACAGTATGTGCAGAAACCACCTTCTTGATTGTTGGATCCGCTATTGGTCTCATCCACTCAATCTGCCAGAGCCTATCTTTGTATGCAGAGGAAGTCCTTGACTCACTGAGGGTTTGAGATCCATCAGCTACCCTCACCTGGTTTAGCCGGCCAATCGAAGCCATTCTCTAACACCCCATGTCCCACATGCAGCAAACGAAAGCGTGGAAATCTAGGCTGTTTAGACCTTTAATATATGCCCTTGTGAGTTCCAAAACTTTCCTCTTCCCTTCACATAGGAAAAGACTACATGTTTGGCTTACTGAAAATCTGCCCAGTTTAGCTGCTTCAGAGGCTGAGCTTCTCAGGTAGATTGAGGGATCGAAAGCTTGATTACTTGGTCCCTCCCAAGGTAAGCTAAGCCTGGCAGGACAGCTTGCTCTATGGTATTAACCTTTTCATGCATTAAGATTATCAGAACGATCGTGTGCAACTAAGCCACTTCCCCCAAATATCAGACGTTTTTCAAAAAGCAAGTGACAGGAGAATGCACTTAAAAGTGTGGGATAACACTTTGATGCAGCGCATCTAACCTCCCCACAAACAAATCGCCATGAATTCTCATCAAATAGCCAATGTCCTCTTATCCCCCAGCAAACAAATCAGGATGAATGTTCAATAAACAAGTAGTCTAGCTGTATCCATAGCCTATATGGTGTGGGTTTTTTGTTTTGTTTTAAGGGTTGGGTTTTATTTCCCTGCTTGTATAACCCAGCTGCTTCACTAAAGGCAATTGGTTACTAATTGAACTCGGCCTGTCTTAGTTCACTGCTAACACAACCTTGCATAGTAAAATCCAGTGTTAGAAGAAAAGCTGTTAATATTTCAATTTCATGGATGCGTCATGCTAGGCATAAAGAGCTTTCAACACCTGA